AGAATAATCTTACTTACTATGTGTTAATTCCTGTTAATTACAAGTGATTCATTTAATTGCATTTACTTTTCATTCTAACTCCAACTGACTGGTTTTGGAAAGTGGTTGCTGGCAAGTCACTTAACACTTTTCCTGAAGTTGTGCTCTCCTGTTACAAATGACTCCAAGTGAAATGGCCAAGATCAGCTTGCCACACACAAGTATGAGTGTGGTGACAGAAGATAGACAAACCATTTTGTTTCTTACACAAGGTCGCAAACCAGGGCTACAATTACAGCCATGAGAGTTACTGATGCCACTGTGAAGGGCATGATGGCAGTCCAATAAAAATATTTGTAGCTCAGGGTTGAACTGTGGGGTCCGTGAAGCTCTCTGATTGGTTGGGTATTTTTGCAGACATTTCATGATCCAACTAAGTAATATCATCAGTGCTGAATGGATAATGAAACGTCTGCAGGAAAACAACTAAGCTCAGAGAGAACGAAGGACCCCACAATGATGGCAATCATTCGCAATTCAAATGGCACAATTCCTGATTAAAACATGATAAATGAGGAAAATACTATTAAAATACAGATACCATGCAATAAACAACATTGGCACAATGTCTGTTACCTTGACAAAAGTCAGTGACTAGCACTCATTATGCTACTTAGTTTGGGTAATGAAACGTCTGCAAGAAAAGAGCCAAACTCAGAGAACACCAAGAACCCCTCATTTCAATCTCAAGCTACAAATATTCTCTTTTATTGGTACAAATATTTTCTTCTATTGATTGTGATTTTTGCAGTTCATCTTTTGCTATCAGTAATTGACTCATTCATGTCCCCAGCTGTGCCTCTGTCTAGGATTCTCAATAAAAGAGCTTTAAAGAAAGAAAGTCTGCAAAACAACAACAACAAACATACGCTAAAATAAATCACTTTTAAAAGTACTAGATTGTTGGTTGTTTTTATTATCACGTAGCCTTTTTCCTTCAGTTTCTTCTGGCTACCCAAATCTGACGGTTTCTTCAGGAATTGGAAAACAACGTGTACTGTTCTTAGCTCATAAGTAAAAGTAGTTACAAAATTCTCAGAATCAGCCAACACTCCCTTATGTCACAGAAAGGAAACTAGTGCGAAATAATAAATTGAAGCAACATTTTGAGCTTTATTTCTTTTAAAATATCTGGGAGTAAGAGAGAATGTGTATTTCCAATAAATGTACTTTCTATTACCATTCCACTCTGCCTTTCTCAAGGTTTGAATTACAGCAGGGAGGAAGAAGGACATTAGTGCATGGTAAATAAGGCTTAGGGAACAGAAAGAGGAAATAAAGTTTGTGGATGCCATCAAGGGACCTGCTACCAAGTCCCTGTAAATCCAAGGTGCTATTTCTATACCGTACAGGGAATACCTTTCCGGGTAATTAAACATTACAGGGAAGAATGGTCCACATGCTTTTGGGAGGTACCCTTCAAAGGGCATATAAAGGATTTTCTCACTGAACATTCTACTGTGGAAGCTGGATCAAAACTAAGAAAAGAAGAGAACAACTCTTGGAAGATTAAAAAACAATGCCCCCAGCTTCCCATTTCCATATCCTTTGTAGATTATCTTTGTGGATGCCCCCCTTTCCCCAAACAATTCTGTTTTGAATTGAGGTAAAGCAGAAGCAGACCTCTCGTTTCCAGTCCACTCTTGAATGACTTTGGAGAAGAAAGAAATAACTTTTCCAATGCTAAAACCCCACATGGAGGATCTTTCACCACTCATGCAACTGCTGTTAACAATCATTTTGTTATTTTGATGGAAGCTGCCAAAGCTCCTTTTTCAGATCCTTGGACTTCCCCAACCACAACTCTTTTGCAGCCACCACTGCAATCACAGTAATATTAAATAAAAGACAGAACTCTACTTACTGGTCCTGACAGAGCACCCACAGTATATGAAGACAGCTTGGGTTTAATCTCCAGATTAAAAGAACCTGATGTCTTAGACAAGCAGATGCCAGTGGAGTTGCCGGTAGAGAAAAATCTAAGAAAGGGAGATAGTCTGACCTAGTATAGACAGAATCCTAAGTCTAGGACTGAGCCAATATCTTTAAAAAAAATGGAGTATCCTTTTTTTTAGTACAGATAGTCCTCGACGTACGACCACAATTGAGTCCAAAAGTTCGGTTGCTAAGCGAGAGTTGTTAAGTGAGTTTTGTCCCATTTTACAACCTTTCTTGCCACAGTTGTTAAATGAATCACTGCAGTTGTTAAGTTAGTAACCCGGTTGCTAAGTGAATCTGGCTTCCAACATTGACTTTGCTTGTCAAAAGGTCGCAAAAGGGGATCGTGTGACACCCCCACGGGACACTGCAATAAATATGAACCAGTTGCAAAGCGTCTGAATTTTGATCACACAATCATTGGGATGCTGCAACGGTCGCAAGTGTGAAAAATGGTCATAAATCACTTTTTTCAGGGCTGTAACTTTGAACGGTCACTAAGCAAAGGCTACCTGTGTCTTCCATAGGTCTGTATATCCATTTTGCATCTCTGTGACCAAGGGAGCAAAGTATTTGGGTCACAGGCAAAGAAAGCGGAAGAGACACTCCTGCAATCCTTGGCTCATAAATGGGCCACCAAGATGGGTAAGAAGAATGAAGGAAACTGCAGAAGGACTAGCAAGATGAACCCTAGTCCTAATCTGATGTCCTTCCATATTTTTCATCCTGCTTCTGAGCAGCACCAACTCTGCTGACCTGCTGCTTCAAATCTACTTCTAATAATGATGCTAGACTCAATAAATACTGGGGGGAATCTGTTTACTCCTTTTATTCTCATCTAAATTAATTCCATGAGTGGGAAAAGGACCACCATGGAACCAGATCTGAATCAATGATGAGCAATTGGCATGCCACTCTGTATGCCATCCCTGTAGACATCAAAGGATTCCTCCAGCAGGTCAGCACAGTTTGAATGAGTTTTGGTGATGTGGCTGGAAGTTCCCATTGGAGTCACAATTCTACATTCACATCAACTTGATACTCAAAAGTCTGCTTTTGCACAGCTAACTCTTCTAATAGAAAGGGTCTGAGCTCCCTCAAAGACTGAAAAATCAAAAAGAACTAACTGCTGAGAAATCTCTCCACATTCTGCTTGTATTAACAAAGAATTGTTAAGATATACTGTACGTCATTGTTAATAATGACAAGATTTTTTAAAGTATTATATTCTGTGCAAGCTTTTATTTTAGGCAAACTTCTTTACCCCAGTAGTCTGCCTAGAGCTACTGTATATCTTAGGCGGATTTCTCAGACTCCTAGGCAGATGCCCTTGAAAAACTCAGTATAAATGAGCAGGAACCAAACAATGCCCTGATTGAAGAACTCTTCATCTTGATTTGACCACTTATATGTCACATCAAACCAATCAAGGGTGTATTTTCCAGTGCTGGCTCAAGGGTATATGATGCCCCTAGGCTTCATTGAGTGATGGCACCATTCATACTGATGCAAAGATTTGCTTTTTTTTTTAAATGACTGGGAAGGAGGCACTCTCTTAGCCTAAAGCTAGCCCTGGTGCTTTCTTTTCAGATTAACGCCAACTCATTGGAATGCCTTTTGGCAGAAAGGAGTACACCATCTTAACCTACTCTTATGAGCCATTTCAATGCTCCCAACTCTCTATTTTAACTGTATTTTTCCAGATGCACTAAAACACAAGAAATTCAGAATTAGTGTCTCTTGGCTCTCTTTTGAGTCTTACTGAGGGACCAAAATCTACAATAAGATCCTTCCTTTCCTCCCTGCCTTCCCAAGACCTTGGAAAGTGGCAGTTACTACCTGTCACCCATACAAATCTAAGAGTACTAATAGCTGCCTATTTGAAATAACCAACACGATAATCGAAGGGATTCAATCTTCCTCTGCGATATGAAGATTTCTGCCTCCCCTCTTCATTCATAGGTTCTAGATTAACCTGCAATTTGGAGAGGAAGTGGAAAATTTAGGATATAGGATGACAGTTTGGAGTTGTGAAACAGTTTAGATCTTTTTTTTTAAGGTTGTCTTATTTTACTTTTTTCCCCTGAATTGGAAAAAATAGAATTGACACAGAACTTTTGTGCAGTTTGAAAAGTTCAAGAACCATCACAAGTGTAAAGAATTCTGCTTTTTATTATAAACCTCCGTATTAGAACTTTTTCCAAGTTATTATTGCACAGGAAACAGACAGTAGTTCTTATATGCTGAATATGATTCAGAGAACATTATCTTGTTCTTCTTCTGCATTCTCCCCAAGATCTGAATGTTCTCTGTACAGCACCAAATTACAGGAAATTACAATTTTACCTTTCTTTTTCAACCATGAGAGCAAGAATAGTTGCTTTATCTGTGACACTGACCGTAATAATTTCCACAAGTTTGTCTTCTCCCCTTGGTCATACTAAAGAAGTCAAAGCAGTCTATCACTGGCCTGTATTTTTGCAGACTGGGCAATTCTGTTCTACAGCATTGGGGCATATATTATTTTCTTAAGGAAAAGGTGACTTTTGCCTTAAGTATACAAACTAAGCAAGCTCTACAAAACTAAATCTGTCCATTACACTATGTGAATAGGAAGAAAGACCACTCTTGGTGCTCACTTTGGTGTCATTGTATTTTAGGAAAGCACTTTGGAGGGTTTTCTCCTCTCCCACACATATAATATTTTCTTGGAGTCTCTGCAGGCATTATTAAGGTGTCAGGTCTCTGCACACAACTGTCATAGTGAGTTCAGTACAATTGCTTATTAGTACAACTGATACTTCTGAGTCATCACTTACACCCTTGCAAGCCACTGGAAAGAGAGAGGATGCTGACAACTCATGTAGTACCTTTCCATTTACACTTAAGAGAAAGCCATTGCTCAGCTGACAATCCTCCTCATAAGGAAAGCTTGTTGAGTATTTTCAGTGCAGAAAAAATAAATGCAAAGCCAGAAGGGAAGAAATATGGAATTGAGAAAAACACAACACGGTATTCTTTCTTCAACTGGTTTCTTCTGGGATTTGTCCTGGGATTCTGAATCCCAAAGCAGTTTGGTCCAAAGTGTTCCTGGGGCTGGAATTAGTATAGCTGGAATGGTTCTCAAATGTGCAACTAGTCCTCTGAAGAAATTGGAGGAAATTCTCATGAATGGAGCCTTCTGGGCTGGAGATACAAAAGTCCTGGTTCAGAGGCTTACTGAGGCAATGTCGTCCCATCTTGGCCAGCTCTTCCCTGATTTGACGGTTTAGCAATCCATAGAAGAAAGGGTTGATCGCAAAGGAAGAATAAGCAAGCCAGGTCACAACTATTTCAACAGAATCAGGGACTGTAGGGACAGAGTGGAAGCAGCAGTGGAGGTGGAAGGAGAAAAAAGGAAGCCAGCAGCAGAAAAACTGGCCTACAATCAGCACCAAGGTCAGGGCTGCTTTATTCCCACCAAAAAAGCGTTCAGGAGACAGTCTCGGAGGCACATTCCTGGTAGTGATGATGGTGACTTGACTGTGGATGGACTCTGACCTTTGTCTGGGTGCAGCTGTCCAAGATGGGACAGGAATATGCTGCAAGGATGCAATGCGGGCCACTTTGTAGATGCTACCATATACTGCAAAGATAATTAAACTGGGCAATATGAAGCAGAGAAGGCTGAAGATGATCACAAAAATCTTTTTGTGGGCACCAGGGCTCCAGTTAACAGTACATTTACTGGCACTGCTTGCACCATTGTCTTGGGGCCAGCCTACTATTGCCAGTGCAGCAACCAGCATAGACTTAATCCAAATGAAAACCACAACAGTAATGGCCAGCCCAGTCGTCATCTTAACTTCATATCTCATGGGATGAACGATGTAGTAGTATCGTTCAATGCTGATAACAGAGATGGTGAGAATGGAAGCGCTGATGAAACAAACGTTCAAGAAGATGAGTGTTTGGCACTCAGCGATGCTGTATAAAATTCTGTTGAAGCATGTGGAACTGGAGATGATCCCCAGTGGCATGATGAAAATTGCTGACAACAAATCTACAAGGCAGAGATGGCAGACAAAGATGAATTTCCTCAGGAGAGGTGTTTTGAGAATAACAACCATAACTGCTGTGTTGGCAACCAAAGCAATGACACTCAGCATAACCATGAAGAAAACTCCAATGGCCTCCTGGAAATGGGGCACTCCAAAAGCATCATGTCCATGAGTAGAGTTAATCCTAGTTCTGTTTACCATCATTCCGAGGAAATCTATTTCTAGGCAGCTTGGCCTTTAACAAGAAATGCCGGGGGATGCCTAGGTTGCATGTCAATATGGCTGTGTCTTTTTCTGGTATCTTTCAATTCCTGTAGAAGAAATTAAAAAAATTAATAAAATAATGAAATGAAATAAATTGAAATAGAATTTCATTGCCTTCGGTGAGATATGTTGATTGCATCACATAAAGACTCCAATTGGCTACAGACTAGGATGCTGTACAAACATCTTTGAAGAAGGGGATGGAAATCACTGTACAGGTAAACAGATAAGATCTTGAAAGAGGAATTCAGCAATCCTTATCCAAACATCACCTAGCCAGGAACGGGTGAGGAAAAACTTCAAGGTTGCCCTACCTTGATTCTCTTTAGTATAAAAGGGGGGAATGAAAATCTTCATCTGCTTTCAAGATTTTGTTATTATATTCTATAATAACCAAATTCTAATATTTCATGCAGAGTCTGTTTCCTAACCTAGTTAGGGAAGTTAACCTAGTTAACTCGAAAGGCTGAACTACTTCTATAGTCTTGCTAAGAAAATCACACCTATCCATATGATACAAAGGTTAGTTTTGTACTACCATATTAGGCTGCAGGATGTATAGTGAGTAACTTATGTGACTTAACTTAATCATGTTAAATATGATTTATTTAGATTTTGCATCATAGCAAGTTGTGTTGGATGACCTCAGACATAGAAAGCAGTAAGCTCATTCTTACATAAACAGTTTTCCTTTCATAAGTTAGCTAACTGGTTAGAAAATATGGATTATAGATTTCTGTTAGGGTCCAACAATTTCCCTCTATTATTGAAGCACTAGACTATTTGTTATTCTAATTACTACACCAGCTGTGACTTTCTCCTTCCAGCTCAATGATAATTGAGGTAATTAAAACAGTTCCTTTCAGACACTTACTATGTGGTAAGACTCAAGCTGCTGAGAAGTCCTACTCACTGTGTTCATTAGTTTATTCTCAGGTTACTATTCACTGTTCTCAGCCAGTTGTACCTAGCTTGACATTCTGAACTAATATGGAGAACTATACAGCAAATGTAACTGTACATTTTTATTTATAAGCTGTGTAATGTTTTATTTGATTTTAAAAACAAGCTTCATCTAGCCCAATGACTAAATAAGAAACCAACCTGAAGGAAATATCTAATGAATTTAAAAATCCATCTGTAATTTTTTTCAGGAGTTCAAAGCTGAATTTCAGCTCTCTGTTCCTTCCCATAAAATGGCAACATAAAACACTATTAGTGGTAGGTAGCCCATAAGCCTAATTTTTATAACAGTTCTGCTGTAACTACAAGAAAAATTCCAATTGATTTCCTAGGCACTTTATTTGTGTTTCACAGTAGGTGTGACATAGCTGCAGTGAATAAGAAAGTTCATTTCAACCAAAGAAATTTCTGAAGCTGCTATAATTCTTCAATTAGCTCCATTGTATTACTAATTTTTAAACTGATTTTTTAACTAATGCCAAAAAACTGATCACATACATGCGTGAAACAAACTGTCACAGCACCACAATATTATTATTTATCATTATTATTTATCAAATTTATACCCCGCCCTTCTCCTAACGGACTCAGGGCGGCTGAGTCCGTTAGGAGTGATAGCTTTAAAAACGATGAGTCCGTTAGGAGTGATAGCTTTAAAAACGATGGGAAAAAGCACTTGGAAATGTCAATGGCAGCGGTCAGAATGGTTTCTAAAATTCATTTTAAAAACCCCTTTCCTTTGAAATATGACTTCCATTGTTACTCTGTGATGACCTGTGAGAGACTTGCCTCACCATCTATTGCTGCCCATATCAAAATCTTGCCTTTTCTAGACTTCTGGTGGCAGGCGTCTTCGTCGGTCGCAGCTGTTTGCTGCCTCCCGCCTGTTTCGCGTAAAAGCCGGTTTGACAGCTAGCATCAGCTGTCAAACGGCTTGATACCTTTCCCCTGGGCATAAGGGGATAGGTGAGCTGCCCGGGGTAGGAGTTGAGTTCCCGAGTCGTCCTATATGGACGATGTAGGTGAGAAC